CCGAGAAGTAACTTCTGTGTTTATCTAACACATTAGGCAGCGAGGAATATCAGACGCAAACAGTCGTGCATAGCGACATGTCCCATACGATAAATAAGCTACAACAAGAGATACCATTGAATGTGAAGTCGCCACAAGGACTTACACTGCTAAAACGCATGGTGCAGAAAATGTATTACACTGCTAGAACGCATGGTGCAGAAAATGTATGAATTTCGGGAAATTTTATTTTGGGAATCAGTGTAAAAATTTTTTACAGATATTAAAATCTGTAAATTAGAATATCTGATTCTATATTCTTTCTACATTAAAGGAGCGTTCATTTCGTTCGTTTATCATAAAAAATGTAGAAATCACACCATTTTTAGAAACATGCTTACAATTTCATTGCTCTAGAAGGGCGGGCATTTAAATAAACTCCGTCCAGCTGCCCCTACCGGAAATTAAATGGCCCGTCCGATAAAGGTTAATGGTATGCATCCTGTTGTGTGTCATAAATAAGTTACATCAAATGTATACAAAAGTATCCAGTCAACACAACAATATTGTGTTTTTTAAACAAAGTAGACACTATTGTATCAACTTTTGTTTTTATTTATGCTACATGTTTTGACCCTTATACTGGGTCATTGTCAGGTGTACAGTGATCCTAGACTGGGTTGTTAAATTACATATAACAATTTGCGTCTAATTCATCAATAAGGTCCAGTTTTGTGCACTTGAGTGTTTTAAATGCATAAATTGAGCCTTTCAGTTAACATTTTAAATACTCAGATAATTAAAAAATTAGAGACTAAGATTAAGACATAAAATTAAAATTGTACTAAAATGGAAATGAAGTATTTTGTGATAAATCTCTTTAAAAATTTGTGTGGGGCCCCACATTATAGTCGCTTCTACACCAGAAAATCACGTCAACACATAGTGGTCATAAAGTTCTAAAGAGATATATCACAAAATACTTCCTTTCCATTGTAGTACAATTTTAATTTTTAAGTTTTAATCTTCATTCTATATTTTTTAAATTTTATTATCTGAGTATTTAAAATTTTAACTGAAAAACTCAATTTATGCATTTAAAAACACTCAAGTGCATAATGAAGTTCCTTATTGAAGAATTAGATGCAATTCAACAACCGAGTCTGCTATCATTGTATGCCTGATGACCCAGTATAAGGGTCTTAACATTTAGTGTCAATAAAAACAAATGTTGACACGATAGTGTCTGCTTTGATTTAAAAAAAAAACAGAATATTGTTGTGTAGACTGCATACTTTTTAAAGATTTTGTGTACCTTGTTAGTAAGGATATGTACATTCTTTACTGCATAGACAGAAAAAGCAGCTAATGTCTTACTGTTTTACAGGTGTGGAGCCTGAATTTGACTTTACTTCACCCCCTGGTGTGATGGACACATCATCACTATTTCTATTTGATGGAGAAGGATGGGAAATTTCAGCACCATTAAACCTTCTGCAGATGTCCTCAGTTGAAGGGGATAAATCAGTTAAAACTCTAAAGAAGTCAGACAGTGACAATACACAGTGTAAACCAGCAAATGAATTTTTTGTTGATGAAACTTTGAGGCTATCTGTAAGTCACGAAGAAGAGAGAGTGAGTGCTCATAATCAGGAGGGATTGAATCATGAGGGTTTTGTGGCAGAAGAAGAATCACTTAATACGAAAACATCAGTAAATTCATATGAACTGGAACACGGAGTAAAGGTTATGGACTTCGGCAGTTGTGAGTCAGCGTTAAAAGCCAGGCTTATAGCATTTAATGAAACGGACTGGTGAAAATACTAATATCCGAATTAAGAGTCTTGGGTCTCTGTTGGGGCCCAATTTCAATGTCATGCCAGTGGATAATGGAATCTTTTCAGTACATATAAACCAACAGCAAGCTGAGACAAACTTAAGCTTGAAAAATCTCCTGTCTGGTAGCATTTACCATAGTGATACGAACGTTGGTGATCAGATTAGAACTGCAAATGAAACTCGAAGACTTGACAGAATTACGAATGATGTAATGAATACGGCAAATCTTGCAAAGTCTCACGTAGCCAGTCCTATGAAGGTTCATACGCATTTGATGTCACAAATTGTGGAGTCTGACAAGACTTTCAGGGAAAGTGGAGAGACTGGAACAGCTGCCAGCATGTTGAGAACAGACGTATGTTTAAAAATGGGAGAACAACCAAAACCAGTGAACTACAAGGAAAGAGAAACTGCTATGCTTACAGAGATTTTGGTGAACAGCTTGCCAACCATGAATTCTGAGCCCAGTGTGCTTATGAACATGACCACTGAAGTGTTTATTAGAACATTTTTAATACATTAATCACAGACATCATGCAAATAAGTTGATGGGTCAAGTTCAAGAGTTATATATCGCCATCGGGTTTTACACGTACACTATTTTAATGTTAACCACAGCCTCGAGCAGTGCTTCTCTGAGCTTGTTTATAAGCTGTTCCATTTGCTCCACCCTTATCTGCAAACTTTCATTTTGTCTCTGAAGTTTTTCAGCCAATTTCTTCATGTCTCCCTCACGAGCTTTCATATTATTTCAGGATTTTCTTGATGCTTCATTATTTCTATCTCGTCGCTCTCTGTATCGGTCACATGACCTTTTCAATGGAGGAGTCCAAGACTCATCAGCTACAGAAGTTGATGGATATACCCGTTTTTCTGGATGTCCACGGGTTTCTTTCGCCAGTAACAGATCTTCCAATTGAGAGATATTCACCCTTGGGGACAATTTCTGGTATGACAGCACCTTTGTACTGGTAGCTGGTTTAGTTCTGGATATTTTAAGTTTCAACGTTCCATCTTGAGTGAGTGTACTTTCCAATGAAGTATGTGCTTCTGATTCCTTTCTGGATCGTCTTGCCTTCAGAAAGTGTTCGTCGTCCTTACCTTCGAGTCCCCGCCTCACGTTAGCTTGTGTTCCTTCTTCAAACTGCTGATTCGGTTTTCCTAGCAGCTCAAGACTTGATGACAACTGGTTACACTCCCTCTCGACCTCAACACCTGTATAACAGTAAGACATTAGCTGTCTTTTCTGTCTATGCAGCTTATGAACATGACCAATGAAGTGACCGCTGGAGACATTCATGTGCTTGGACCACAACTGGCAGTAAAGGAGGGGAATGTTGCAAGAGGGGCCCGAAGCTTGATCTTGCAACACCATTGGACATTGACGAAATCAACAACACACCTGTGATCTTGCAATCTTTACTGAAGCAAGATGAACCATTTGACTTGGTTTCCTACATTTTTGACAACGTAAGTTCTCCAACCAATGTCCTGAGTATTTAATTTACAGCATAGATGGATATTTATATCAGGCCTTTTTTTGGGGGGGGGGGAGCTGGGACAGTGTACGCCTTTATTAGATAAGCACAGGGACAACATTACTGTGTATGGGATCTATGTCTTAAAGTACAAGTGCATGTCTTTCTCCTGGAAACTGTTATTATTTTGGTGCTGTCAGTAGTACTGAAATTATGGGAAATGATAAAGATTTTGAAAGATGGCACCTATAGGCATGCAAGGAATGAAATGCAAATAAAGAATGTAATTTCACATGCAATCAGATGATTGTGAAATTTGATAGTGCTATAGATAGCTCAAATTGTAATAGCATGAAATTGTTGGTTGCTCAGTGTTTTGTGGAAAACTGTTTATACCATGTTTGTAAATTTATGATGATGTACTGTAATGTGAGTAAATGTATCTTGTTTATTGGATTTCAGCTGGTACCAGGTACCACACTGCCTACCGGTGTGGAGTGTGTTGCTGAGACATCTGGCATGCAATGGAATGATGCAGAGCCTGAGTGGATGGAAGTCGAGAGGGAGTGTAACCAGTTGTCATCAAGTCTTGAGCTGCTAGGAAAACCGAATCAGCAGTTTGAAGAAGGAACACAAGCTAACGTGAGGCGGGGACTCGAAGGTAAGGACGACGAACACTTTCTGAAGGCAAGACGATCCAGAAAGGAATCAGAAGCACATACTTCATTGGAAAGTACACTCACTCAAGATGGAACGTTGAAACTTAAAATATCCAGAACTAAACCAGCTACCAGTACAAAGGTGCTGTCATACCAGAAATTGTCCCCAAGGGTGAATATCTCTCAATTGGAAGATCTGTTACTGGCGAAAGAAACCCGTGGACATCCAGAAAAACGGGTATATCCATCAACTTCTGTAGCTGATGAGTCTTGGACTCCTCCATTGAAAAGGTCATGTGACCGATACAGAGAGCGACGAGATAGAAATAATGAAGCATCAAGAAAATCCTGAAATAATATGAAAGCTCGTGAGGGAGACATGAAGAAATTGGCTGAAAAACTTCAGAGACAAAATGAAAGTTTGCAGATAAGGGTGGAGCAAATGGAACAGCTTATAAACAAGCTCAGAGAAGCACTGCTCGAGGCTGTGGTTAACATTAAAATAGTGTACGTGTAAAACCCGATGGCGATATATAACTCTTGAACTTGACCCATCAACTTATTTGCATGATGTCTGTGATTAATGTATTAAAAATGTTCTAATAAACAGTGAAATTTGTAGGTGTGAAGTTTCTCTGGTTAAGTCCCAAATTCCTGTTTCCTGTGATATGTTTAGGTTACTATCAGTTACAATTACAAAGTGAACAATTGAAATTAACATTTATCAAAAACGAAACGCAGGTGAATATCAAAGGTATACGGCACAGGCACGATGTCTTGGCTATTAATGGCAAATTTCCTTGCTGGAAAAATGGTAACTGAACGAAGGCAAAATTTTAGTTTTCTTTACTAACATTTATTACAGTGAAACTCCCATGAAGTAAATCCTTAAAGCAAGGAATGGTAAAAGGGGGTTTCCACTATATATATGTATTGAGTTTGTAAGGTGTGACAGTCATTTGTTTACGGATCCTTGGAAAGGCATAAGTGATGAAGGATGTAGTAATTGAACAGAGGCCCAGCTACCTGGCACATTCTCCCCAATGCACATCATCCGTGAGGAGTTTATATTTAGTGTTGTCTTTGGTAATCCACAAATTTCCTTCCCACCAGAAAGTTTGACCTTCAAATATTCCAGAATTAATGTGGTTGGAAACTGGTGGTGCTGTTGAGATTGGTGTCCAATTTGCTGCCATACATATGCTGGAAATGCAACTAAGATAGTGTGAGTTAACGTGTTATTGTAAGAGATTGATTTGTTTAAACTAAAGGTAACTTTACTTACGGAGCTGAGCCCTTCTTTGGGTGAGGCCAAATCTGCAGCTACTCAAGAATTTCCCAGCATTTTATTGAACCCCAAGGTTCATCACCGTATTCACAAAGAGCCCTCCACTGGTCCCTATCCTGAGCTTGATCAATCCATCCCATCCTATCTCCTAGATCCATTTTAATATTGTCCACCCATCTACGCCTTGATCTTCTCAGTGGTCTCTCTTTCCATCTGGCTTTCCTACCAATATCCTGTATGCATTCCTCTTCTCCTCCATTCGTGCTTTATACACTGCCCACGTCATCTTCCTTGACTTGATCATTCTAATTATACCTGGAGAAGAGTACAAGTTATGAAGCTCCTCATTATGCAGTTTTCTCCAACCTGTCACTTCATCTCTCTATGGTCCAAACACTCCTCAACACCCTCAGTCTATGTTCCTCCCATAAAAGTCTGAGACCAAGTTTCACACCCATACAGAACCACAGGCAAAATTACAGTGTTGAATATTCTAATTTTTTGGACAGCAGGCGAGAAGACAAAAGGTTCTGCACTGAATGGTACCAAAGCATTACCTGAGTTCAGTCTCCTCTTAATTTCCTCCTGAATCAGGTTTTGATTTGTTATCATTGTTCCCAAATATGTTAACTGTGCTTCATTTTCAAAACATCTGTTTACTATCATGTCATGATATTGCCCTGCGTTTTGATGAAGAGACAGTAGCATATACTTAGTTATCTCTATTTACTTCTAGACCAACTTCCTTACTTGCATCAATTACAAGTTTTTGTGCTTTTCTTTATGGTACCTATATTATCAACTAATAGATTCAAAGCATCAGCATAGATCAGCAGCTGAGGTGCCCCATTTAATTTAAGTCCGACCTTGTTTTCCTTCACTTTCCTAATGGCATATTCTAAAGCAGCGATGGCCAACTGGCGGCCCGCAACTTGATTTACTCCGGCCCCCTGCCAAGTCTCGGGTTTATTTTCAAAAATCTTAACTTCACAGCTGTATTGGCATAGAATTCAATTTTTAATAAGACGTTTCATTGGCTTACAGCAGTTTGCAATTGAGTGTATGCGTTCTTACCAAGTTGGACAGTTCAAACTGTTTTCTAATAACTGTGTTCATATCATGGAAATTCCAAGTCCCCCAACCCTACTTCTGTAGGGAGATTACACTGAAGGGATGACCGTAGCGGTGAAGGATCTATGACACCTTCAAAATAGTAACCATTCCCAGCTTGCTCACGGGGATGGGATGTTTACCGTTTCTCGCGGCATCCTGGCCTTTGTTAAGTGCCAGTTTTAGCAGAAATGTCTCCCAGTTAGTGCGATTTTAGAAACTGAAGTGTGATTACAGAGTGTGAGTGTAGAACTGTTTTTCAATTAAAATTGTGTTTGAAGTTATTGTAAGTGATACAGCATGTCAAATAGTAAATTGAGAAAAGTTGATAGTGAAAATAGGGCTTCAAATCTGAGTGGGAACATGACTATTTTTTATATTAAACTAGCTGTGCCCGGCCACGCCTTGCTGTGGCTAAGTCGGCCCGTTCCTTCCCAGTTTCATTTGAAATTACTCGACGCATTGCTTCCGCTTCGCGAGTACGACGACCTAAGGATTTATAGAATGTAAATAAATTCAATTCAATTCAATTCAATACAATACGGTTGTACCCAAACTAATTTCAGCTTGTTTTGCAATTAGAACAGTTGATCCATTCTTATCCAAGAATCATTGAAGATGGTATATTTTTCTATTTTCACTCTATCATGACTTATGGTCTAATATTTTCAGGAACTTCTTATTATAGCAATATAATTTTTAATCTACAAAAAAAGAATTATTAGAATTATGCTGGGGATTAGAGATAGAGAGATATTCATGTAGAGAATATTTTAGAGAATTAAAAATATTACCACTATAATCTCTATACGTATATATATATTCACTTTCATTGTTTGTGATCAATAATAAACACCATTTTAAAGTAAATTCTGAGATACATAATATGAATACCAAGACCAAATCTGATTTGTATCATCCACCATCTCATTTGTCAGTTTTTCAGAGGGGAACATTATACTGGGATTAAGGTGTTTAACAGTATACCTGTTCCAACAAAGAATTTATCCCATAATACAAAATAGTTTAAATCATCCTTGAAAAATTGTATTTCCATTCATTTTATACATTCAACTAATACTTTTAATACAAGATAAATTAAACCTTTTATAATGCTGTTTACCAGGGTTGGAACTTTAATAGTGGCAACACTGCTGTAGAGACGCCGTGCAACAGAACCAAATAATGTTGCTTATACCACACGTTAGTTACATACCTACCTTACCGCAGAGCAAATGGACTCTCCCTTCCCGCATCATGCACATGCGCAGTGATGAGAAGAACAGAGCCTCCTGTTAGCCGGCGGTCTAATGTAGTGTTGTCACGATGTTTTTGAAACAGGAACAGCGGAGTTGGATAAAGATTAAATGTGCCAGAGGCCGTACAGCACGACAGTGTCATCAAGGTCTTCAAGAGGCTTGCAGGGAATCTGCATTGCCTTGCAGAACAGTGCCAAGGTGGGTAATGTGGCAGACATGCATCAGCCAGGTCATCCTATTGTCAGTGAAGAAGAAATGTATGCTCTTTCCACATTACTGGAGAGTGATTGATGCCATACGATTCATGAGCTGGACTCAGAGACAGGATTAGCGCATACGACTGCTTCACATTTTGAAGGAACGCCTGGGCATGAGAAAAATTGCATCAAGATAGGTTCCGCATGATTTGACGGAAATTCAGAAATGGCAAGCTGTGACTGATTTGTTCGATCAATGGGCCTGTGAAGTGCTGTACCATCCACCATACTCCCCAGACTTAAGCCCTTGTGACTTTGACTTGATTCCTAAGATGAAGGAACCACTTTGTGGCATTCACTTCAGAACTGTTCCAGAGATTCTTCAATCAGTAGACCGCTCCATTCAAACTATCAACACAACAGGCACTGCTAAAGGCATCCTACGACTTCCACATCGCTGGCAACGGGTTGTACAGTGCTGGTGACTACACTGAAGGACAGTAAAACTTTGAAACATGCATCTATTTTGCATCAGTTGTAAATAAATAGTTGCCACTATTAAAGTTCCAACCCTCATATATAGTACATTGTACAAACTAATTTATTATAATCTGATATTTGTTTATATGTTTAAGCGTTGATCTCAATAGTGTATTACTGTCAAGTTGTTGAGTCCTATATGCTTGTTAAATTACTAAATTATGTATAATTAGTTTCTTTTTTTAATATAGTTGTAAGGTGACTAGTTCTGTGTTTAGAACTAATGTATGCATATGTAACATGTTCTATATCTGATAGCTTTGGTAGCCAGTAAGGATCAATGGAATTAAAATAAAGATACACATACTATTTACACTATGTGGGGCTGTTACCACATATAGCATAATTTATTGTGGGTGAAATAGTTGATAGTCTTCTTGTAGTTCACGTGTTTTGTTGACAGGAGCTTCCTAGCATCTGTAAAGATATAAATGTGCTTGGAGTGAGGAATGTTCTGGAAGTCAGACCCTCTGCACACATCACAAGTAGATGTGAGGTTCTCACAGCAGCAACTGTAAGGATTACTGCCTCCAGGATTGTGGCACCATGTAGTGCAGGGCCTGAAAGTGGACGCAGCAGGTTCAACTGCATTGCATCACATCCAAGAAGAGTGTAGTCTTCATTACAAGGAGTTCCTGCATCAGTCCTCACTTTTTGGTATGTTGTTTGCTGATCGAAAGTTTTGTATTTGTGTACTCATTGACTGGTTAAAGAAAACATCGAGAATTTACAGAATGCTGAGTTGGGATTCGGTAATACTCTTAAGGGACTCGTGTGGTAAATATTTACCAGTATTTCAGAGGAACCTGCTGCCTCCTTCATCAGGGTGTGAAGAAGAGTGGAGCAGGTTTATTCAGAACATTGGTCAGTATCTACCAGACTAGACAGTGTTACAGCATAGAACACAGGAGTCTTCATTACAAGGATTTCCTGTGTGGATACTAATGCAGTGTACAAATCTTGAATTTATATAGTGATACATAGGGTCAGTGGTGTTAGACAGAAATACATACAGCTGAGCTGTTAGTACCTGATCGTAGTCCTTTTGAGGTGGAAATTGCTATTGCAAAGTCAGAAGGGTATAAATCTCCAGGTAATGATGAAATTCCGATAGAACTGATTCAAGCAGGAGGTGAAACATTACAGTCCGAGATCCATTATCTTGTTAATATTATTTGGAATATGGAAGAATTGCCTGTATAGGTAAACACATAATTTTCCTGCCCAGAATGATCTAAAAAAAGGAGATGCTTTATTGCCATTGTTTTCCATCTTTGCTTCAGAATATGCCATTAGTAAGTCCTAGGAAAACCAGATAGCACTGAAATTAAATATGACACATCAGCTGCTGGTCTATGATGATGTAAATCTACTGGGAGATAACATAGATACCACAGAGAAAAACTACTTGATGCTACTAAGGAGGATGGCCTACAAGTAAACACAGAGAAAATTAAGTAATGTTGCTATTTCATCACTAGAATGCAGGGCAAAATTATGACATAAAGACAGCTAACAGATGCTTTGACAATGTGACATGGTTCAAATATTTGGGAATGACTGTAGCAAATCAAAATTTGATTCAGGAGGAAATGGAGAGATTGGATTGACCTGGCTTGGGATAGGGACCATTGGAGTGGTCTTGTGCATATTGTTCTTCGCATCTTGTTTCGAAGTATCAACATGTCTGTCCTGTATATACTTTTCCACATTTGCAAGGAATGTTATAGATCCCCAAGATTCTCAGTTTCAAGTCATCTTTCACAGGTTTTAGTACATAAGAACTCTTCTTAAAAGGGATGTGGATTGTCTTTGTATTAAATTTTGTTAGTAACCTGCTGATCTTGTATGCTCATGCGTTAGAAAAGTGCACAGATAAGCCACAATATACTGTAGTCCTTTACATTAATCTGCCACTAGTGTTCCAGTACTTAGTTTTATCAGTGAGTTTGTATATCATTACAAGGAATCTTCCTGGGGGGTAAAGGGCAGCCAGTGTGTAAGGCTGACAATCATACCACCATCTGTGAGCAGATTGTCGAGAGAAAATGTGGGAGCCTCGACATCTCACAACTCTGGGCCTTCACGGCCTGTTACAGGGATAGCTTTACCTTTATATATATCATTTCTTGAAACAGCTTTGTGTTACCATATAGAAATGAGGCTGGAGCAATGTATTGAATCTCCCAGTGAAGTTTAAAATTATTTCATTATAATTAACTGCAGATAACACAAGATGAAAATGCAATGGCCCTCAGTCAAAATTCTCAGGGCTTGGAATTAAGTTGGGAACTTATTTGGAGTTTTCTCACTTGGAGTACTTGGCCTTTGTTGGTGGCAAAAAATTTAGCGATTTAACAGAAGCCTTCATAGAATTACAGAATCAGGAACTTGTGCTCCTTGCCAGATGTTACTAGGAGGATGAGATGATGGGGCATCTAGTATGTATGGGAGAGAAAATAAATGTAAAATACTGATAGGAAAACCTATGGACAGATGGGAGGATAATATTGAAATGCATCTTGAAGGTGTGGACTGGATTCTACTGACTCAGAATAGGGCCCAGTGGAGGATTGTTGTGACCATGGTAATGAACCTGTGGGTTCCATAAAATAGTGGGAATTTCCTGATCAGCCTAGTAACTGTTAGCTTGTGATGTACTTGACTCAGTTTAGTTTGTCTGTCTTTGCTCTGAAGTTCAGACCAACCGCAGGGCAGACCTGTTTCCTGTCAGGTAGGCATGATGCATACATGCGAGGAGAAATTCTGGATTTTGTCATGTCTCTCAGCCTCCACAGTGAAGTGTTGAAATCATCTGTTTAGCATTAAGGGCTATGATACTTAACAGTATAAATAAACTTATATGCTTATCTTTTGAGTCTTTAGACACATTTTGATAAAGCCCGATAAACAGGATTTCTTCTATACATGCATTATCATGTGTGAGTTTTTTGTTAAGGCATATTAATAGCTTGGGAGTAAAAATACCTTTGATAGAATTCATAGGACATGCAGTATTTAAGTAGAACTTTCATTTCAAAAAAAATTACAGTCGAAATTACAGTATCTAATAAATGTGGACAGCGACTACCATTTGCACCAGAACCTTGTGCTACAGGATCTAACTATCCTATCTTGAGGATCTTGGGTTGCAAAATGTCTGAAATTATGTTGTTTGTTCACAGTTGGTACAGAGGATGTGAACACATCATGGACAACCCACATCAATTGTGGCCTAATATGTTGCACAGAAACATGGTAAGGAATTCCTTGTATTTTAACAGTTAATTGTAAACAGGTTTATATATGCATTGCTTCTGATTTAGAGTGTCTGTTGATGTTTTCATGTTGAGTAGATTCAGATAAATACTCTGCAAATTTTGTGATACCATTAAGTTAATGATACTATTATAGTGTAGGAGCCAGGATAGTGCAGTTGGTATAGCAACTGGCTATGTGCTGGATGATTGAGATGCTGGAGTTCAAGTCCCGGTAGGGTCAAGAATTTTCTCTTCTCCACATTGTCCACACCCACTCTGGACTCACCTCCAACTAGTGCAGAGGTCAAGAAAATGTAGCTCTATACATCCACTCCCCCATACACCTTTACGGCATAATGTTTAATTAGTTCAGCACAGGGGCAACTTTATCTTTACTGTTATAGTGTAAATGATGATGCCAGTTTGAAACTTGTTGGGCAGTGATAAGGATCTTGGTGTAGTATGCTAATGAGTGACCACTCTAAAACTGGATGTGTTGGCAGGGAGATAGTTGCCTGGGCACTGTGCACTACGAATTTTCCAGCCCTGGCTCAGAGGCCAATGTACTTGTATGAGTGGTCTGGGTAAAGCAGTGAAATTAGTGACATATTAGCCACTCTGGCCCATACACTCATTTCCTTCTTTTTTTTTTCCCTCTTTTAAGATGTAACAAGACCATTTTCAGCTTGTCCCTCTGCTATGTAAATGTATTCCATAATTTTTAAAATTTAAAATGGGATGTATTCAGGTCCAACTGCCCCACACCCATCTGAATCATATGTAACATAAGAGCATAGAAAATTAAATGTTGGTACATTTTCCTTTTGATAAAGAGAATTTATGAGTAACTGAAACTTGAACTTTGGCTTCTAGGAAAAGTGCTTTTCTGCCATTTGCACTTCACACTGGGATCATAGTGACTGCCAGAAATGTTAGTGACTGGTATTATTCAAACAGAGTATGTTTATTTGTAAAACTTTTCTTACAGTACTTTGTTTTGAAACAAATAATTGCCCCCATCTTGAGTTACTTGTACTGGATAAAAGAAAACTGTATCAAGGTCCTTATATAGAGAGTACAGGTGACTTAAGATGGGGGTAATATGTGTGGTGCTTTATTGATTTTATTTTGTTTGTTCACAGGTTGGGGAGAACACAAGGAAGCTTATGGATAGCTTTGCACTGGAGAGGTCATGTGTGGGTCATGAAAGAATTTTAATTTCTCATGAGATAATGCACAATACAGTCTTCAACATTTTCCTGTGCTCCTTGCCAGATATTACTCTCCCTTCCATTCTTTGCTGCTCAAATACAAGAAAATCAACATGTCACAATATTTATAGCCACATCCTTTTCTTAAACATGCATCATACATCAGTCTTACATTTCACAACACTATTATTGAATTTACATACACAGCTTTATAATTTGGGCCATAAAACAAGATTCACTTTTACATTTTAAAGTCATGAAGTGTGTAAACAATATAGGAATTTCAGAAAATGTGATGCAGCAAGGAAGGAAAGAGGACAGGAGATTACAACAGATGCTGGAAAATGTTGACATTACACATGGGCACTATCTTGTAGAAAATGAAAATTTCCTGGCACCTCACACATATTTTCTCCAGTACAAGAACTCCGATACCTATCGTCATCCTCCCTGCAAAGCAAAAATAGAAAACCTGGCAGTAGTTTCCATTATCCTACATGAAATAAAGTACAGGATGAAACAACTCCAGTAATATTTCATTTATCACATTGTATTCAGCATTTACTGTAGCAAATCCACATATATTTGGTTACTTCCGGCAGATTCCCATCATACATTCATGTTCTAAACTTACACATGTGAGAATCCCAGAAGATAGCTCAAAGTAACCAGTGCATTTCATATAAATAAATGCCGAAGAATGCCAATCAACTTGTAGATGAAATTACGGAATCACTTTCCATTTAATGACATAAAATCTTGTACACTTGAATATAAAAGATACTATATTCCCAATTTTATAAATTTAATTCAATTTACCTTGTATAATGTTAAATTACTAGAACAGTCTTTAACAATTTATTAAAAAAAAAAGTCAGCAGCAGTGGTTGGGATTGAACCTAGGACCTCTGAATTACCTGGTCGCTGCACTAACCACTAATCGACTGTAGTGACCTAGTATATGTTGTGCTACCTCTACTTATGTTGCACATTTTGTTTCTTTCTGTCTCACAGTAGGGATCCATATGGAGCTTACATCTGCATTTGGTTGGCTGAGGGTCTATGCAGACAGTTAGTGTCAGCTAGTGATCCCCAGAATGGGCCCTCAGTCAACCAGACACAGATGTGAGCTCTGCATAGCTCCCCTACTCTCAGACAGGAAGTGACCAACATTTCCGGGGTCACCAAAATGGTCTGCTGGGTTGAAGTGTGCCTGCTGTAATATCAAAATGGCATTCATCTGACAGTCAATCGCTTAGGACAACAGCATACCCCCATATCAGATACACAATGGACAGGTTAATGTTCATACAGCAGCCATGTTTTAATTTCTGTGCACATGGAAGCACCTCACCATAACTTCCGGGTTCTGATTATCTAGGTCCTACAACAAATGTGACTCCTCCTCAATGAAAACAGGGCAATCATATCTGGGTTTGGAAATCACTCTGAGCCGTAAGCCCTAATTTCATACGTCTAGTTCCTGGTGTGTGTGTGTGTGTGTGTGTGTGTCAGGTTTTGATTTGTAATCATGGTTCCCAGATATCTGAACTGTGCCACATTTGCAAAACATCTGTTTCCTATCATTATGTCATGATTTTGCCCTGAATTTTGGTGATGAAACAGCAACATTACACTTAGTTTTCTCTGTGTTTAATTCTAGACCAACCTCCTTACGTTCGTCAGTTAAAGTCTGTGTGTTTTTCTTTATGATATCTATATTATCACCGAGTAGATTCACATCATCGGCATAGACCAACAGCTGATGGAAACATACACATATAGACTGTAAATCTGAATACAAGGTGGTTCAAATATGACTGGGACTGAATTTTTGTAAACAAGCCGTACTTTGCAGCAGCTGTGCAACCTTGCGAGAGTGAAGCCACAACCTCCACCCTCCCTTCTGTTAGGGTTAGAACCTGTTCAGTTCTGTCTGGAAGTTGCTAGAGTGATGAGAGAACAGAAGCTACTGCAGAATGTGGAACAACGCATTGTAATCAAATTCCTCGGAGAAAACGTCCAGTCGACTGAAATTCACCACAGACTCCAACAACAGTATGGGGAAGAGTGTCTCTCATGGACCCGTGTGTTTGAGTGGTGTAAGTGCTTCAGAGAGGGCAGAGAGCGTGTGGAGAATAAACCGCATGATCGTTGGCCGAGAAGATCCACCACCGAGCCGAACATTGATTGTGCAGACGCGCTTATTACAGTGAGAATAGGCGCATCACTATCAAGGAACTTGGAGTAAGATCCAATCCAAGCGGAAGACAGGTGGAAAGCTGGTAGCCTTCTTTCAAGACAATGCATGCCCCCATACGGCCAAAACAACAATGGAAACCCTTCGGAAATTGAAATGGAACCTTCTGACACATCCGCCCTACAGTCCCGATTTGGCCCCAAGTGTTCGGAAGACTCAAATCAGACTTGCAAAGCATGTGGTTTGTGGACAACGCCGTCATCCAGACTGTTTGGGAGCAGATACACTGCCAACCACAAGTCTTTTTTTTGGGGGGGCATCAGGATGCTTCCAGAAAGTTGGAAAAAATGTGTTGACTCTGGAGGGGAGTACGTTGAAGACTGACATGTGGAAGTATGTGTCTGGCAATTATGTTTTTTTTTAAATCCCGGTCATATTTGAACCACCTAGTACATTACTCGTACATACTGTAAGTGGTCACAACTGTGCACTTACTAATTCGAGATGACCCACTGACACTGAATGTACACCAGGCATGTCAAACTCAACTTGTACAGAGGGCCACCTCAGCCCTATAAATAATAGTCCAGGGCCGCACTTCAAAATAGAAATATACATTAGATTTTGATACAAGGATATTTAATTCTATTTATTATTTAGGAATAATTTCAATATAATTACCTAAAGTTACATATCTTACAGTTTTAAAAAGCAAGAGAATGCCATTTTTGACAAGTATCAAACAACTTTTCAATATGTAAAAAGAGATTACACAAGAAATTATGTTAGAAATGGCAAAACACTGAATTAATAACATCTGTCGAACTTCATAAACTGTTAACTTGGAAGACAAAAAACAACTATATTGTTTCACTTTAACCTTTAAGAGCCGAGCGACACCATATGGCGTCATGAAAATAAAGTCAAGGGGACGAATGACGCCATATGTTGTCGCGCAGTCCACGCGTGCGGCCAGCTTTGTAAAATCTAATTTTACATTATAAATTATTTTTCTACTTACATGATTTTTGGTCACCAGCTTTATAAGTTGTCTCTCTTCCCACCGGCGTCGTCTAACGGAATGTTGGCTTTGTGTGGAAATCTTGGAAACATCCGGAAATGCAGAGTCCCACATCACACTTCACGCACTTTATCCGGATGGTTCTTCGTTTCCCACGCGAAGAGCACACTCGACACCTCAATTTCAAAGTAGAGGAAGTTGGCCAGTGCTGTTGTTTGGCCTCTATTCGAAATGACCCCTGGGCCATTGAGGGCGAGGGGGGCCCCTTCCAGCACGCTCCAGCATGTTCCGCACAAGGGCGAGACGAAATTCTCTGTGTGACAATTTCGCGCCACAGGATGACAACAGGATATAACTGTTCAGAATCGTCAGATCCAGGAGATGGAAAAATAATTTATTTGTCCATTTCCAGGTTCGACGACAGATGCTATAACTGTTTGCCATTCTGTCTGCTTTGTCGACATAACCCATGTGCTTGTTGTAGTTAGCAACAATTGCTGGCTTGATGGCATTTCCATGCTCATCACAGAAACTGCCTTCTGCTGGAGGAGAGTGCATATTTGTCAGCATGTAAACGTCACGTTTGTCCTTCCAAACTAGTGCTGTCAAGTTCTGTCTCACCCTAACACGAATGTCCCCTTTCTTCAGTCGAAATTGTCTTCGTCGAAAATCGTCAGGCAAGCCCTTCCGATTAGGTCTGACTGTCCCACAGCACGTTATGTTCTTTGTCATCAGTTCGTCAAACAAGTCGGGTGAAGAAAAGAAATTGTCCATGTACAGTTTGTGACCTACGCCCTCAATACGTCTGCATAGGTCCCTAACTGTAGCATGTGTCGCTGTCACGTCTTGGCTGGCACGTGTCCTGTCTTTTCCTAGGTAAACTTTCATGTCATAAGTATACCCAGCGGCGTCACAAATTTTGAAGATTTTGATTCCGAAACGTTTGTGTTTCTTAGGAATGTACTGCCTAAAAACCACCCTCCCTTTGTATTTTACAGTTATTTCGTCAATAGCCAAATGTTCGGAAGGGTTATAATATTTTTCAAATGCGTCTTTGAGAGTGTCGAAGATGGTCCGAATTTTCTATAGTCGGTCATAACTGTCGGCATTCCTGTCAATTTCTGTACTGTTGTCTGCAAAATGAAGAAAACGAAGAATGTGTAGAAAACGGTCGCGTTTCATTGTCTAAGAGTAGAAAGGCGTGGCAAATTGTTCTAGAGTCGACCAGTAGTCCTTTAGTCTGCCTCTATTGTCATGTCCCATTTGAATGATTATTTCTAGAAACAGAAACATCTCGGATTCGGTCACGTCAGGCCGCGGAGAAGGTCCGTCTTGACGTCTGTCTATGTGCTGATGGTAGTACCTATTCGTCTCTTCCACCAGCAGACGGATAATCCCTACGAAATAGAGCATTAAAACGCAGAAAGGGGTGGAATCATTATTCATGTGTGGAGCTTCATTGGTATTTAACCCCACAGCTCCACCTGAATAATTATTCACACTCCTCTTGCCACGCTGGTGTGGTGGTCCCCAGGTTGCCGACGAAGATGATGGGTCTTCGTCGAAATCCATTTCTGAATCACTTTCCTCAACGCCACTCTCAGAACTGTCGGTAAAACAATCTGATTCGGAGTCATTTATGAGTTGAAAAATGTCTGAATCTTCCAAACGAAACGACGCCATGGTGAGCTGACAATATCACTGTTCTCGCTGCGAAACTTTGAAGCTCTATGACACTGCTTGGCTGTGCTTGGCCTTGAGAGTTGTGATAAACTAACCGAGCCTGGTCAGTACAGAGAAATTGTTGTGTATAAACAATCAACGTTCTTATAAACGGAGATATACAGGCCCACATCTCTGCATACCAAAGAAGGTACATGTATATGCTTCGAGACATGCGAGACTGAACATAATCATCTTCATAACCATCTGCTGTGTTGCCACATCTCGTACAGCGTTCTTGCTTCCAAGAACTATATGAATTCTTGTAGACAGACAAATTTGGGAATTTTATACTTGGAATCAGTCTAAAACTTTTTACACATTTTATAAAGTCTCTAAATTACAATATCTGATGCTATATTCCTTCTAGAAAAAAAACAGCGTTTATTTGGTTCGTTTATCACAAAAATTGTAGAAATCACAGCAATTTTAGGAAATGATTACAGTTTTTATTGCTTTAAAATTGCGGGTATTTAAATCAAATCCGTCCCGCTGCCATTACCGGAATTTAAAGGGCCGTCACTTAAAGGTTAATTTCGTTAATGATATTATTCATGAGTGAATTAAATTACCAGTTCAATGTTT